AAGTTCATCAAATTGTATGAGAATATATATATATATATTTTTTTTTTTTTTTTCCTCTTCTTTTTACTTCTGGTTGAGCTCCGATCATCCAGTCATCGAAGCCAGGGCAAGTAGGTATTACATAAATGTATTTTTAATAGTATCGTTATGGCAACAGGCACTCCAGTCTCCAACAGTATATTCTAGATGGTTTCTTTGATAGATAAAGTTTAAAGGGCTTTCAAAATGAGGCAAGGCAGCTGATGTGCCTACATGGAAATTAATCAGAGGAACATATATGTGGTTCAGAAGAGGATGTGGAATGACAGCTACAATTGTGAGGATCATGATAAATTATGGATAGCATTGTGAAAAATGGAAATTCTAAAACACTTAGTTGCATTCATGCAGAAACTGAACATAGACCAAGAGGCAGTTGTTCAAGCAGAACAAGGAGATGCTGCGTGATTTAAAATCAGGAAAGGTATTTGTCAGGGTTGTGTCCTTTCACCATACTTACTCAATCTGTACGCTAAGCAAATCATCTGAGAAGCTGGACTATCTGAAGGAGAATGCAGCATCAGGAATGGAGGAAGAGTTATTAACAACGTTTAACAACTTTAACTACCTTTAACAACTCATTAACAAGCTTCCACAAGTAATGATAACACAACACTGCTTGCTGAAAGCAAGCAGGAAGGATCAAAGTCTACAGCTTTCAATACAGACTACACTTGAACATAAAGAAAACAGAAATCCTTACAACTGAACCTATAAGCAACATCTCAACAGAGAAAAAATTGAAGCTGTAAAGAATTTCATTTTACTCTGATCTACAATCAACACCCATGAAAGAAGCAGTTAAGAAATTATTTGCACTGGACAAATCTGCTATAAGATAGCTCTTTAAAGTGTTAAATAAGCAGAGATAGCACTTTGAAGACAAGATAAGCCATGGTATTTTCAGTTGCCTCATATCCATGTGACAGTTGAAAGACCAAAGAAGACTTGATACATTTGAATTATGGTATTGAGGAAAACTACCACAAACTACCAGAAGAATGAATAAATCTGTCTTAGAAGAAGTACAACCAGACTGTTCCTTAGAAGTGAGAATAACTAGACTTCGTCTTACATACTTGGACCATGTTACTGGGAGGGAGCAGTCTCTGGAAAAGGATGTCATACTTGGTTAAGTAGTGGGTCAGTGAAAATAGGAAGAACCTCAATGAGTCGCTGCAAAAATGGGCTCAAACATAGCAATGATTATGAAGAGGATGCAGGACCAGGTAGGGTTTCATTTTATCATGCGTATTTGTTGTAGATAGGATTGCTATGAATTGGAACTACCTGACAACAGGAACAACATGTATGAAGTATAAATATTAATAATCTTACTAACAGTGGCATCCTAACTAATAGTTGATAGTTAAATATTAGGCAATACATCATAACTTGTTTTCTCAACTAACTAAAACTTTTATTAAAGTGGCAAGAAGATCAAGGTATGCTTGTTCTTGTCAATAAGACTCAGTAGTAAGACAACAAGTAATTTCCTCTGCTTTCTGAGTTTCTGAAGAGATGGATAGGGGTGAGTCAAACTGTGATACTAGACAGCTGTGGGAGTTAGGGATTTAGTTCTCCACCCTCAGAGCACCTCAAAAGGCAGTTCCTCTCCTCTTTTGCTGAACCTCTGTCCACATGCCTTTGAGCTACAGACAGTTGCTCACTCCTAGGTTACTAAGAAACCCTCCCTAGGAAAGCAGAGCCCACATTTGAAGGACCCAGGGCTGAGGAGGAAGGTATAGTATATAGAAGTTAAGCTTTGCCTAGGTAAAAAAACAAAACAAAATCTAGTCCGCAAAGATTCTAGTGTGGGCCAGAAAATGAGTTTGCAGACCAAAATAACAAATCCCTCTCCCTCTCACAAACTGCTCTTTTGTATACTCCTCATAACCTGGTTGTTCTAGGGCTATGTCAAGTTGAACTTTTCCTGCCCATCAGTACTGCCCAACATCCCACCTTTTCCCCATCTATGTGAAATCAATGTTAGTCTTTTGTTCGATGATTTAGCTATATCACCTACTTGTTGTTAAGCATTGTTGAGTCAGTTTCAACTCATACCAATCCTGTTTAGGGTTTCTGAGGAGAGGCTGGTGGCTTTGAACTGATGACCTTGAGGTTGGCAATCAAGTGCTTATTCTACAGTGCCACACCAGGACTTTCTTTCTATATTTAAATTTCTAAATTGATGCTTTTGTCCTACATACCTATAAAATGATGTGTATTAGTTTGCTTCTTGAAAATTGTAAGACTATACACACATAACAAAATATTTGTCAGTTCAACAATTTTTACATAATTACGATCTTCATGTTGTCAGCCGTGTTCAGCATCCTTTTCTGATGAAATCCACCACCATTAGCATAAACTCCTTGTTCCCTTCCCCTTTCTCTCCCAACACTGATACAAATTTATTTTATGAAACGGTTCCACTGATGTTATTTTTCCTTAGTCCAGACTAGTAAATGTATTTAAAATAATCCCATAATTTACAATTCTTAGTGAGGATGAGTCAACTTATTTGTTTTGTTTTGTATTATAGGAAACAACAGTATTTTTCTGATATGTTTAACTCCTTAGATGCCATCGTTATTGGTTTGACCCTTCTGGTTAATATTGTTTATTGTCTTCATGACTTTAAGGGTATCACTAATATCCCCAGGTAAGAAATATAAACTCACCTCTCAAAATTTTGTTTTTCTTTTGCATTTTCTGTGGCCTTTCATTTTGTATCATAAAGAAGATGGAGCACCCGAGAAACTGGAGACATTGTCTCTTCTAATAATGTTCATATCTTTATATTTTGAAATTTCCACTAAATTCCCTTTTTATGTCAGCATATAACCAAGAGAGTTTTGATGTAAACAAACACAAAATTTGAGTTATTACAATGATCCTCTAAAAAAGAGCAAATGAAACAGAGAACCAGGATGGCGATGGGTAACTGGCAGAGGTGACATTTTGCAATATAGGTCCGGTGTTGTTACCTGCCGCTGAGTCATTTCTGACTCACAGCGACCCTGTATAGGGTTTCCAAGGAGCAGCTGGTGAGTTTGAACCATTGATCTTGCAGTTCAAACCAACCTTGAGGTCAGTGCTTTATCCCACAGTGCCTGAAACATAGTTAGTACTGTTAGAAATCAAGAAAATTAAACTGTGTATGAGTTGTGGATGACTCTGTTTTGTCCTCCTCCTTGCTGCTACAATGAAAAAAGAACAAGTGCGCTTGGAGTTGTGATGTTGAGTGGTTTGCTAGGCTTATTAGTCAAAGAGCTTATTTATTTCTTCATCCCAGCCTCCTAGGCCTTCAATTCAGACCCCAATTAAATGTGTCCCCAGATAATAGGCCTTTGGAGTAATTTGCAAATAATCTGAGTCAGTGTAATCCCCCGATCTGGTAGTCTCAGTATTGGAAAGTATTTCAACCTGATGCCTGTGTTATGCACTTTGCAACTGTAATAAACTTCTGTTGCTTATGAGAACAATAACCCTCAGTTTATTTTGTTGGAGAAAACATTGAAAACTATTGGTCTTAAACAACAAAAGTTAAATTTACAAATTCTAGGATTCGGATCCTCCAGACCAGGGCTTCTTAACATGGGCATTATTGACACTGTGGCAGGTATGAGCCCAAATGAGCTTTGCTGTTCATACAGGATGTTAAATAGTATCCTTGGCCTCTACCCACTGGATGCCAGTAGCAACTCTCCCTTCTGCACAGATTGACCACTAAAAATATCTCCAGACATTGCTAAATATCTCTTGGGGGTAATTCCCTGACTAAGAACTACTATTCTAGACTCATATTGGGAAACTTCTGTTTCGGAAGTAACAATGAATCTTTGTCATCTATTGTTAGATTGACAGTTTTATTTCGAGCTCTACGAATAATCATTCTGGTAAGAGTTTTTCATCTGGCTTATCAAAAAAGGCATCTTGAAAGACTGACTAGAAAGATGGTAAGTGGAGAAAACATTTGCCTAATTCAGAAAAAATGTGTTTTGAAAAATACTGATTTAAAAAAAATACTGATAAAGTGTGTTGATATCTATTTTTATTTGTTTCATTTTTTATTTGTATTTTACAAACTAATCATTGTTTTTACCTCTCAGGTTTCAGGAAACAAAAGGCGATATGAGAGGGATGGGTTTGACCTAGATCTCACTTATGTTACTGGTATGTGCAGTTTAGCTGTTGATTCATGCACATTAACGTCATACATTTCTTATGTGTAATTATGTTTCTATTTCTTATCTATCTAAGCTGCAACACACATTAATGAATACATTTCAATATTAAAGTCCCCTGTCTCCTTTATCCCTGAAACTTTTTTTTTTTTCTGAGATTCAAAATTGTTATTTACATTATCCCTCAGTCAGGAGATCTGTTTACAAATACTCTGCTTATACATTTTGGCAAAGGTGGGCCACTGATTCTTCTTTATGTAACATTAAACATTACTTAATATTTAACCATTACAGAAATGCTTTGTAGAATAAGCACTGGACTTCAAACTACAAGGTTAGAGCCCACCAGTCACTCACTACATGAGAGAAAAGATGAGAGTTTCTGCTCCCACAAAGATTTACAGCCTCAGAACCCTATACAGGGTCACTGTGAATCAGAACTGACACAATAACACTTACCAACAACAACAGACATACTATTACTAAAGAGGAATGCTTAAAATAAAAGAATTAAGACAAAGTCTCTATCAATTAAATAACATGTCACTTTGGATAGGTATTAGTTTAGCTCTGGCAATGGAAAATCTCCATTGTCTCAAATCAGGCCTACTTATACAGGAACTTGATTGGATATTCAGTGGACTCCTTTTGAGATTATTTTAGAATGTACTGAGGTCTAGAAGTTATTAGGGGCCCCAAAGATCCTAGAGAGATCAGCGCTCTTTCTAAAAACCCGAAAGAATGGGGTTACTGCTTAGTAGGTCTCTGCTTTTCTGAGTTAGGAAGGCTGGAAAGCACTCTGAGTTCTCACCATGATGGGAGCCCAGACTTGGTGTTTAAGATAAGAATGATTTCCAATCACATAGGGCATTTCAGACCAAGGCTAACTCAGATCTGTCTCATATGGTTGGAACCACTGAATCTTGGAAATACCATGTGAGTTTAATAGTGTTGGATAATTCAATGTTATCTCTATTAACTTGAGCATTAGTTTTTCTCTATCATTTTCCATCTTAAAATTTCTTTTCTTGGAGCTGAGAGCATAGTGGCCTGCTGTTGTGAAGTGAGGGGAGACACATAAGAATGCCCAAACTTGTAGATAGTACCCATTTGACCTGGCTTCGATGACTTAATGATCAGAACTCGACTAGAGGAAGATAAAAGATAAAAGAAACAAGTGTAAATTGCTACAATTTGATGAATGTGACCTATACTTATGGATGTAGTAGCTCAAAATACCAACCAAGAGGGAAGAAGTCTTCACATCCAAGATCAATGCTATCCCCTCTGTATACAGGGTTAGTAGGGACAGGCAACTTAGACATTGGCTACCTAAAATGGAAGGGGCTATAAAAACATGAAGTGACGGCTTACAAGGTTTCAAGGGGAGTTTAGTTTCAGAGTGTGTAGGGGAAGGTATAATCTCCAATGAACAGATTTCATCTTGTTCAAACGGGTCTGGCGAAAGGAGATGGGAATAAGATTCTTATGACTCAATAGTGACTGTTATCATGATTAATTGTGATTGTCACAACTGTAAAGGTAGAACTTTTTTTGTTCTTGTGTAAATTTAGTCCAAATAATTTTTTTTTTTTTTTTTTTGCAGTTAAATGCATTTTTACTATGCTTCCCTGACTGTTGGAACACATTGTCTCTCCCTCTTCTCTTTATACCCATGAGGAGCTCCATCTGTCTTCACCACTTTTTTTATAAAACAGAATTCAAATTCTCGAGACATGGAGCACATGTTTCCATTTATGTTTTTTGTTTTTTTTTAATTGTGAATTATGTGACAGGTTACAATCCCCTCCATGTATCACCAATCAATGAAACAGTGCATCCTATATGCCTGCTTCCCACCCCCACCCCCACCCCCAGTCATCAGCACACAGCCCCTCTTCCTCCCTGGGTCCTGAGTTCTCTGCCTCCATCTCGGGAATCGCTGCCTCTCTGGGTAGGGTTCCGCTCTCCACTCTTCTCCCTTCATGGTTTCAGGGACCTCGGCTCCCAGCCTGCAAAGTTAATCACTCCTCTCCTTGCCACAAAATGCCCACTTTTACATTTACAACATTCATAATCAGTCCTGGTAACAATTATTCACCCTTGCATCACAAGAGACCTTATTCACATTTCCTTTAATCAGTCCTGCCTAGACAGATTGGATACTACTCACTGGAGATTCTACCTTGCTCCACGCTCTCTGGATCTAGGTTCCTTCGTGAAAACTTGTAAGCCAGTCACTTCTTGCCTTTGTAGTCCCCCCATTTTGGGTAGCCAATGTCCAAGTTACCCATCCCTGTCTACTTTGTGTATGGAGGGGGTGGGAATGATCCCTGCTGCAAAGATTTGTTCCCTCTTTTGAGCTACTGCATCCATAGGTGTAGGTTAAGTTCTTCTAATTGTATCAGGTTACTCTTTTTTTTCCCCCTCCTCTTTCTTCTTCTAGTTGAGTTCTGATCACCCAGTCATTGAGGCTAGGTCAAATGGGTATTATCTGCATGTGTGGGCGCTCTTGTGGCTATGCCCTCTCTTCTTATCAGCTAGACCCTTCACCCTCCATTCCAGTCCTCCATGGCTATGTCACTGACTCTGGGCCCAGGAGTCCCCAGGTCTTGCCACACTGCTGGTCAACCAGGTCTCCACCTGGGTTCACAGGAGTGTATTGACCATTGTAGGGCTTAGCTCGCAGCCTTAAAGCTGCTTTTCCCTCTCTTCCCCCTGTCAGTGGCGAACGTGGTCACCCATCAGAGCGTGTATTCCCATTGAGTCTTAGTCTTGGAAGGGGGTTTATTCTGAGGGGCCCTGACCCCTTGCCTTGATGTCTCCTGTGCGGGAAACTTGTTTGTTCTTATAGTCATTGGTCAGTCTGTTTTGTGTTTTTCCTGTCAGTCTTTCTTTCAAGAGATATCTTCTGTTCTTCTAGCTGCTCCAGGCTGGTCTGCCCGTCCTCTCAGGGGGAAATTTCCCATCTCTGGAGATTCTGGCTGCTGTTCAGGATTCCACCTATAGTCTTATGTAATGCAGAGGCTCCGCAGGAAGCCTCCTTCACTGGGCACGTTGTATCCCCGTTTTAGGTATTGCAATCAGTTATAGGCAGAAGATGGACTTACAAACTTTCTATGGTGGTATTTCTGGCTTTTCCTTTCTTTCCCCTTCCAGTGTCTATTTTACAATGTAATGCAAGGAATACCAAGATTCAGTAGACCGCCAAGCATCTTAACATTATTTCCTGCTTTTTCCCTATTCCAACCATATCTCACTCCATGTACCCCCTCGCCCTGTTGTTCCAAGGTTGTGTATACATTATTATTTACCTCTGTCCCACTTAGCCCATGTGAACCTGCCTATTTATTGTCCCCTCTGCTTTGTTCTTCCATTCCCCTCTCCCCTTTTGTGTATTGTCCCCCTCCCCAGCACCCTAACTAACCTGTCTCTATTCCCTGCCCTGTGCTCTACCTTTTCATCCCTCCCCTCACCCCA